GTTTATTGAAGAGTAAGTGTCGTAAAGCGTTGTACTATCAAGGAAGTACATTTGAAAGTTAACGAAATGAGAATAAGTCTTTTGTCCTACTCGGAGATATATCTACTATGGACATCAAAATCCCTTTCACAAAATTGTATTCATGAATAAATGTTCAGTTTGTTTATATTCTACCTATATAAGGATAAAAAAAGGAATACTCCGAAGGAGCAAAATCTAAGTAATGTAGACATTTTCGATATTTAATTAAACGGCTTGCAAGTTATATGCTATTTCATAATTATGAAACTAAGGGATAAGATAAGCATATATCAATATACCATGAGGTTGTTTTTATCAAGATTTGTCGCACATTACTGAATTAAACATTTATTCCATTAAAAGGGTCTTACCTCCACTGATTGAGGTCATTTTAGCTGTAAAGGGTGCAGCAATGCTAGCGTCTCCGAGGCGGAGGACAGGTACAGTGTCGTCGGAATCGCCAAATGCTAAGGAATTGGAAGAGTCCGCTGTCTTCGCTAGTCTCTCGGCAAATTGTGTTGCACCCAGACGGCCCGAAAGAGATTTAGAGCTTGATCCACTAACAGTAGAAGTGGCAGGTCTACCCAAAGCACCGCGCGATGTTAGCGACGTAAACGGACCTCGAAATCGGCTCGATTTTTCGCTTTCCAGGCCGTTATGGCTAAACAAAGAAGAACGCTTGCCAGAGCTACCAATGACGTTGGATGTGGACTGGAGGCCACTGGAAATTGTTGCGCTTGGGATTTCAACTTCAGGACTATGACTAAGCAATGCTACACCTAAAGTAAAAGTATGCGAAACAGTTTAGATCGAGTCAAGGCAAGTAAAATATGAAAAAAATAAAATGAAGAGATGAGAAGACAGTATAATCAAGATCTAAAAGCGATTACCTGAGTGAAACTAGGCTAAATGATTTCCAGCTAAATTCAATAAATTATGCTTACTTCTGAGTAGTATGAAAATGAACTTTAAATGCACAAATAATGATATTTCAAAATGTTGAGCCTAGAAATGCTTCCGTTTAAGAAATTTGTATATATTTTATTCTTGTCAAACAATAAAAATATTAAGCCCCATATGGTGTATTAGATACATGGATACCTTGCTCTAAGGACGTTCGTCATATGAAGAGCGTAAGCTTAGCACCTTTTCACCGGAATCGAAGGAGATTGT